TGCTTCTGTGTTTTGGGTGGTGACGACTGATTTCTTGAAAGCTGCAGCCTGTTTATAATACATTGCCCTGGGAATCACATAATTAATACATGAAAAGATTAAATAAACAGCTTATGAATACAAATAGCTTTGTGACGCAAACAGCCAGCAGTCTTCCCTCCTATAGTCTATGCATTTACATCAGATATTTTTTGTTGACACTTACAAACAGATTCATCATCATCATCTCCCCATAGAGATCGATACATTTAAGCTTCTCTGCTCAGGGGACCCTTTGATTTGCTGTGCCTTTATTCCTATAAAGGTCAAGATGCTGAGCTCTGCTTCTGGGTTCCACCCAGAAGTTTTGCTTCCATGCCTGAATCCAAATCCAACAGAGGTTTAGACGGGCTTTCAGACTTTAATTGAAATAATGTTTAGACCTCCTGGTATGTTCACTTATTGCCTATGAGATCTATATCCTCTAAATAGAGCATTAGGTGCTGCTGACCTGGATTTAAAAGAAAAGACAATTAAGCAAACTCTAATCACAACACAATGCTCAGAAAGTTTAAACAAAGAGAAGAATATCTGATGAAACAATAAAATCTTCAGAGGACTTGGGAATTATCACTGATTCCAAGCTTTGGGAGCAATAAGAAAACTCTGTTTCTTGTACGTTTTAGGTAATTTGTGGGTTATTCTATTGTATCTGAATGGCTACCCTTGGTATCCTGCCATTTTGAGGCAAGAAATATAAACATCTGCTAAATAAACTTTACATCCTTAAGTAGGTTTAATATACTTAAAAAGCCAGAAAAGCAAAACGAAATATGCTAGCCCCTTCCAGTGGGCCCCCTGGCTCTGCCAAATTGCTCTCCTCAAAAGGGAGGATCCCTACCACCTATAAAAGTCACTTGTTAATTTAAAAGTAAATTATCTTGCAAACAGGATCCATCTTACAAGGAGCCAGCTGGTACATAATTTAGCTTGAGCTGCCACCCCCCAAAAACTAGCCTGGGAACAGACAGGCTGCTGCTGTATGAACCATTCAACATGCTAACTCATGAACTTAACCCCAAGTTACTCAATTTCCCCCAAGATTTTCATAACAAACTCAACCATAAAAGGGTGGGCAGCTTTGCACAATTCACTCTGCTCAAATTTAGCTGGATAATTTATGATTCAGTAAGTATGTGAACATAGGGCAATTCTGCATTGCAGTTAAAGCTGCTTGTCTCCCATGTTGCTGCTGCTTCCAAAACTGACTGAAAATTCTAGTCCAAATTGCAATGGGTTGGCAACAGAACTGGATGGGTGCCAGTGATGGGATTCAATTTTTATTACTACTAATTCTGTGGATGTGGCTTGGTGGGCGTGGCATGGCTTGGTGAGCGTGGCAGGGGAAGGATACTTTAAAATCTCCATTCCCTCCTGATCAGCTGGGACTTGGGAGGCAGAGAATAGATGGAGGTGTGGACAGTCAGAGTGATATTTACCGGTTCTCCGAACTTCTCAAAATTTACACTCTCCAGAACTGGTCAGAACCTGCTGAATACCACCTCTGGTGGGCGCTAAATCTGGCCACCACAAGTCTTAATCCTTGCTTGGGTTTTCCTTCTCATAAGTCCCCAATCTTTTCCTTTACTTTACCAGATGATTCACATATGTATGCATGTATCCCCTTTCCAATTATCTCCTTTGACAATTCCTTTCCTCCCTACCCAGTGGTGGGATATGACCAGTACACCCCAGTAAGGGCATTCTGGTGCCTGCTGGGAGCACCAGGTACCATTCCAATACGGTACTCCAGAGGGCCCATCCACCCGCCATCCTTACCTGTATTTGAGGTGAATGGGGCCTACACACACGCACACAGAGTGTACGGAACATGACGGAGCGTTGTGCGCGATAAGTATGTTGTGCACATGCATGTGGTGAACGCCCGGCCCCGTTGCACTGTACTGGTTGCAACGGGATCCGGAACCCACCACTGTCCCTACCCCAATTATGTCATCAAAGCTCCAATCCTACAATGATCAATGCAAAAGGAACAATTGTTTTTATGTTCCTCTCTTCCTTTGTAGAAACAAAGGCAGTGTGCTTATTTTGCAACCTAAAGATATATTAAAAAAAAATAAGGAAAGGAAGTTTTGCAAGAAGGGGGTTGAAAAAGCAAAGGTTTGCTTTACCCAACCTGGGTAGAGATTGAAAAGATGCTCAGTGACAAATGTAAAGGTTGAATAGAATTGAGTTTTCAGGATTACAAATAGTTGATTGACTTAACAGGTTAGCATTGAGCAGCAGAGAACATAAGTCTGATAATTCAGGGTGAAATGGCTACCCAGGACAGTGGCCAGCCAGTACAGGAGAACAGACATGCCAGGCATTGCTGTGGGAACTAGTGGGAGCTGAGGCTGCTATCAAAATAGAACAAGTACTGGAGAAGAGTTCATGGCAACTCAGAATGGGAAACAACCATTCTGAAATGAAACTCAAACATACAGAAAAAGGTGTAGGGTGTACTGAGATAAGGACAAAATCATCTGTTTCTGTACTCCGGAACCAGTGAATGACCCATAAAGGTAATAGTTGTCAGCCTTGCCGGATAGTTCAACCAAGATGCACACCCAGAAGTATTAGTTCTAATAATTAGTTCTAATTCTTTATTGGAAGGTTACACTCACTGAAACTTGCAAGTCTGAAAATGCACCTCTCCTTCCCCCACCTTTACAGTCTAAGATTCTATGGAGGGTCCTTTCTGAAATGTTTGCCATGCCCACATTCCTTTTGCAGGCTAAGCTGTCACTTATGGAACTGTTGCCCTGGCTCTGGCTCTTCCCTCTGTATCTCAAGGTTATTTCCACATGCCATTACAATAGTCACTGAAAAAGGACTCTCAAAAAGGGCATGCACCTCAATCTTTGCTTCTAGGTGTCACATATATGACCTCTCATTTGCTTTTCATCTTAAGGCTTCACCCGATGAGTTTTAATGCAACTGAATTATGAGTCTATAGTATATTCTGAATTCCGGATTTCATTTCCCACCCTCCTATTCAGATGTCTTCCTGCTTTTACATCACACTTCTTATTTAAGGCAACTGAAATTATTCAACAAAACAGATCAGCTTCCAAATTTGGTTGTGCAGAATGTTTAAAGTAATTTAAAAACAAGGCTGTTTTCACTGTATTTTAACTACAATGACTCCTTTGATATCCTACTTGTTTTACTTGACTGGCAGGATGAGTGGCTAGAATATCCATAATTAAGTTATATGAATGGTGGAAATTATTAAAATATCTGTATGGCGGCACATTTGATGATGACATCAATCTCAATAAGAAAAATGCCTTGAGGTTCAGAAACACATTCACATTTTTCTCAGTAGGTGATGCTAAATTTTGAACATTTGAACATTGTGCTGGCTTCTTGCTTGATAAGGGTATATATCTTTATTTTCTACATACAGTATATTTCATATATGTATATGTATATGTATATGTATATGTATATGTATATGTATATGTATATGTATATGTATATGTATATGNTGCAGTACTGCACCCTAACCACTGCGCCATCTCGGCTCTTTTCAATGACATGACAAAATAATGAATAGCTATTCTTAAAAAGAATCGATTAGCTTGTTTTACTGGGTTTGCTATGATTTTTAATTATTACTCATTCCACGGAGAAGAAAACATATGTGTCAAGGAATTGCACAATGAGGGTAACCCAGAGAAATTGCGACTTTATCTCAGGTGCAAACATGATGGAGAAATTAGTATTCGTGCCATCCAATTAATAGTCCATATCTTGAAGCATTCCATCAGGCAAGGGGGCATTGATACATCTCTAAAGAGATAGAATGGTAGCCTTTCTTTGATCCTTGAAAACAAAGAATCCACCATTTAAATTATTCATTTCATATATACAATCAGCATTTGCATTTGTTTCATCTGAATCCTCTTTTTAAGCTCCCCTCCCCCAAAAAAGCAAAAAGCTTCTAGCAATGCCAAAGGAAACATTTACAAATGACTGCACACATATCTTGAATGGCAAAGTAAATTATTTTTAAAATATTTAATAAGGACAGGTTTAATAAGTACAACTCTAACCATGGTTATTTTCACGTTTTGTTTTCCCCTTAAATCTAGAGGGAAAAACCTGACCCATACAAGTCCATATATTGATATGTTAACAGTTTGATTTTGAAGTGATACATTCCAACCCCCCCATCAAAGTAAAGCAATAGATTCGATCCATGGCAATACATAACATTGTTGAACATGTCAATTTTTGTTGGATTCACAAGATTGTATCTAAGATTGGTCCCACATCTCTGTGTCTTCAGAACACCTTTAGACTTAGGGAAGTCATCAGCTGATAAGTTGGTTAACTTCCACTTCTGCTTTTTTGCTATGTTTTCTCTGCCACTATGGGGCAGGTAGTTTTCCATCCCATCCTGATCTCCCCTTCTTCCTAAAGTGCAGTAGGGCTTTGCCATTCCTTCCCACCCAACCATCTCAATTTACACAGGCAGTGGGTTTTTTCAGCCTCCATGTTAAGACATTAAAAAGGAAGTAAGCAGGTTGGTGCACTGGTTTTTCATCTCCCACTTCGGCCAACTTGTCATTCTCTTGATTCCTTATCTTCTCCAACCCCAGAGAACACCAATAAAGAGACCTTGTGCAGTTGTTCAAATTCTCTTCAGAAGAATGATCCTGATGGCAGGGTGCCTTGAGATAACTAAAGGTAAAGGTTCCCCTTCCACATGTGTGCTAGTCATTCCTGACTCTAGGGCGTGGTGCTCATCTCTGTTTCAAAGCCAAAGAGCCAGCGCTGTCTGAAAACGTGGTCATGTGGCCGGCATGACTAAATGCCGAAGGCACATAGAACACTGTTACCTTCCTACCAAAGCTGGTTCCTATTTTTCTACTTTATGTGCTTTCAAACTGCTAGGTTGGCAGAAGCTGGGACAAGTACGGGAGCTCACTCCTTTTAGGCGGCGCTAGGGATTCGAACTGCCGAACTGCCAATCTTTCTGCTCGACAAGCTCAGCGTCTTAGCCACTGAGTCACCACATCCCTTTGAGATAACTATGGTTACCTAAATGTGGGATTCAGTGGCATAATGTCTTGCCTTGCCTTCCCTTGCCTAGAATAATTACAGCTATATCTTTAACTGAACCGGATGTGGCGATTTGTGCTATCAGGTTTTCCTTCATAAATAATAGCTGTGGGTTTCCTTCTGGAGTGGAGAGGCATAGAGAGAACTGTTTGGGGTGGTTGGGTTAGCTGGTGGGTAGTGGCAGTTTGAAGCGTGTCTTCAGTCCCAGAGTTTTGTCCATAACTTCCACAGGCTGCAGGCTATGCCACTGTGCGATAGGCCTACGAGGATTAGCCAGCATATCTGACCAGTGGCGCAACTGGTTCCCTGTAGCTCGGCAGCTGAGAAACAACTTTCCGATCTGGTCATCCTTGGTCACTTTGTCATGATCCCAGACTGAGATCACCAGGTCCACATTCTAGCATGAAAATTACAAAGCAGAGAGATGAGAGGAGGAAAAGGAAGGGAACACAGAGATGGTTTTTACAATGCAAACAGAGAAATCTCATATCTCCTTACAAGGTGCTCTCTGCATGGGGAGCAGTGGTGGGATTCAGCCAGTTCGCACCTATTCATGAGATCCGGTTCTTAACTTTCTAAGAGGTTCAAAGAACTGGTTGTTGGAAGAAATTTTTTATTTTTTCCCACTTTACAGGGCTAATCCTATAAGGAAGGCAGGAAGGAAACATTCTGGTGTTGTTTCTAGCTTAATCTTTATTGCCCTGCTTACNCTTCCGAGGTGGGTAAAATGAGGACCCAGATTGTTGGGGGCAATAAGATGACTCTGTAAACGGCTTAGAGAGGGCTGCAAAGCACTGCAAAGCAGGATATAAGTGTAAGTGCTATTGCTATATTTTGCAACAAGTTGTCATTTGGTCACAAATGGCACCTGTGGGAACGGGAGCCAAATATCATGAAGGAATGTCTGTCTTTTATGTGCTTGTGGAAATCATCACTCTACCTCCCAAAGAAATGGCTTCTAGCTCTTTACATTCTGAAGGTGGAAAGAGGCACAAGGATGTGAAATTGGGTTTTTTTATCAATAGGACTTACTTTTGATAACCTGCCGTCCCTGGAATTGTTTTGTAATGGCTTCATTAATTTTTCTACAAGAAACCTCTTTATCAGAAATCCTTGTATTCTTGAATGCCTCTCTGTCTGTTTGCAGACTAGCTTTCCAAAGAAGTTCGATTGTTTAATGAAGCGGGAGATGTCTGCATATTATAGTCAGGCAAATACTTTTTCTTAGAATTCTAAGCATGAATTGCTTGCAATAATCCAAATGTCACCTAGTTTTAAAAGCACTATGTTTAGCTGTTTTGCTTTTGCTTTGCTTCCTGTTGCTATTCCTAGACTGCCTGGTTAAATCAAGCAACCTCAACTAATAAAGGATACATAAAAATATATAACCTCAGCTAATAAAGAGTAGATAAAGGAACACTTCTTCCACAGAATTGGCTAAGGTGGCTGATTTTTGCTATCTAATATAGTGTTTGCCGTGTGATGCCCCATCAGATGTATCGTGTCCCATATCTCATATCTATATGATGCCACTAGTGCTACATTTGTGTCGGGATCACCAAAGTGCTTCTAGGTTGAAAGGATTGAACAGTGACATCACCATTGTCCAGGGGACATCCAATTGGCGGCCCCTTCATGACCCCATTAAATTGCCCATCAAAATGGTACCCATCTATCTACTCGTGATCTCCTTCAGACTGCTGGGTCGACCGGTGGTAGAGCATGTGACAGAAACTTACTGCATCCCACAGCAGCAACCGGATTTTGAAAGACAGAAAAAGAACTTCTTTGCAATTGTATTGCACCAATAGATACAAAGAGGCTGTTGCAAATATCAATAGGGAAACAATAAACCCAGGAGGGATCCTTGAGAAGAAGTATCCGATAAGGGACATTTATTTATTTATTTATTTATTTATTTATTAGACTTATATACC